AGGTGTATACCCAGAGAGGTCTCTCTGAAGTACTTTTTCAGGACTGCAGGCATCCTGTGCTTATCTTACTAATGCAGCCACTCAAGCGGCTGTTCAAACATTTAAAGTGCACTGTGAAAAGATGATCCCAGAGCTTCTCTGGTTGACATGGAAGTGGGGTTCCAGATCCCCTGCCCCTTCACTCTCTACTCACTGAATCACCTCTGACAAGCACTATGTAAAAACCTTTGCCCTGGAGAATTCCAAATATCCAGGCTACTTCTGCTATTTTTTTACAACCACACAATTCACCAGACTTTGAAACGGGTGCATATGATATCGTCTGACGATCCTTAGCTTTGGAAGCAAAACTCTGCTACTAACATTTAGCTCAGTTTCACTCTGAAGTCTGGATGAGTTTCAGTGACCACATAGACAGACTGGCACTTGTGTGGCCTGCTTTATTTTCCCCCTTTGCTTCTTTTTGGAGGTGGGTGTGTTAATCACCCTGCTCAGCTGTGGTGTCCAAGAAAAGCTGAGAGGAGGGAGTTAGACGCAGCCTCCCTGTGACCTGTTTGCACACACCAGGCTGATAAGCCCAGGCAGAATGACAGTGACAGCTGCCTGTGGCATTCAGAGGGTTTTGAACTGTTCTGTTCCACAGGCTCAGGGACAAGTATAGCATTACAACCCAACTGCTCAGAGAGAAACCACCTAACCTCGCCCTCGGGAATGGGCCTGGCTGTCCTACGGCCTCATCAAGGTGTCTTGGACACCTGCAGGACCTAACCTAGACCCTCTGTGAGCTTCCTTCGCACTGTACTTCCTGGGCACCATCCTGTTCTCAACTCCACCTGCGCTCCCTGCCTGTGACAACTAGGATCTTAGCAGCTGGTGTAGGACACAATCCCAGCCTTCGGGAGACAGGTGAGAAAGTGTGAAAAGGAAGGTAAATGGGGGCCAAGCACTCAAATGCCGGCTCCAAGGACAAGGGTCCCCAGGGGGTGGTGCTCCTGTGGAGGAGGCAGAAATTGTCCCCATGGGACGATGCCCTGCTCTCAGGAAAGGACCCACGGTCCCTGCTGAAGCGGGGCATGAGCCACATCAGCTTCAGCCTGGTCACCAAGGGAATGACAGACATCCCTGACTTTCTGTGGGGCTTGTCTGAGGTCCAGAAACTCAACCTGTCTCACAACCAGCTCAAGGTTCTGCCTCCTGAGGTGGGGAGGCTGACCCGGCTGGTGGTTTTGAACTTGTGTGGGAACCACCTGAAGAGCCTGCCCAGAGAAATCAGCCTCTTGAAGGGCCTGAAAGTGCTGTTCGTCAACATGAACTGCCTGACCGAGGTGCCAGCCGAGCTGAGCGCCTGCAGGAACCTGGAAGTCCTGAGCCTGTCGCATAACAGCCTCTGCCAGTTGCCTGCCAGCTTCGCCGACCTCTCCAGAGTGAAGAAGCTGAACCTCAGCAACAACTGTTTCGCTCACATCCCTATCTGCGTGTTTGCACTGAAGGAGCTGGATTTCTTGCACGTGGGCTCCAACCGCCTGGAGAACATCGCCGAGAGCATCCAGTGCCTGAGCAGCCTGCAGATCTTCATCGCCGAGAGTAACAACATCCACTCCTTCCCACGGTCGCTCTGCCTCCTCACCAGCCTGGAGCTCCTAAACTTGAACAACAATGACATCCAGACCCTCCCGGACGAACTCCACCTGCTGTGTCGACTGACGAGGATTGCTTGGAATCCCATGGACAAAGGACTCCACATTTCCCATAACCCTTTATCCAAGCCCCTGCCAGAGCTGGTGGAGGGGGGCCTGGAGATGCTCGTCAGCTACCTGAAGGACAAAAAACACAACTGATGTCACCACTGGAGACAGGAGCAGTATCCCGCTCACTGAGTCTGTCAACTGGGTACTTCTCTAGTCTCAGGTTTCTCCTCTTACTGTGGTTCAAGGCTTGTGCTGATATTTATGAATCATTGTTGAACACCATCCTAGACAAGTGTTTGCTTTTATTAAGTCTGCATATTCCCAATAACCCCCATAATATCTTGTTCATCTCCTTGTAAAGGTAAATTGAAACAGGTGTTTGGTTTTCTCAGAAGACAAATAATTTCTCTGATTCTCCTGAGAAGCCCTGGGATTCAGCCTTTGGGATAGTGGTTGGCAGTTCTGATTCAATGGAATTCAAAAGTCAAATATTTGCTATGTATGTGCTGTGTGCCAAGTAGGGTATAAGGCATTGACACCATCTGGTTTCAACCCTTGAATTGGCAACCTGCAGCAAGGTGGCAACAGCAAGACATGCTCTTACGTCTGCCGTGACCAAGCATTACTTGAAACCAAAGAGCAAGCTGGAACCTTGCTCTCCTGGAAGTGACCAAAACAGGCAGAGCTTTTCCTTTGAGTTCTGGGGGGGAAGAATCATAGGAAATGTATCTCTAAAAGGATTGTAGAGTAATAATCAAGCTGCTCGTGTTTATGTCTGGTAGTGAGTGACTGGAACAGCATGATGGCTTCAGATAATAAATGCAAACCAATGTTAACATGCAGTTTCAACCTTCTTTCCCAATCGTCTTGTACCCATAGTCGTGTCTCTGAGCTTTTTTAAAGATGCCAGCCAATGGTTGTCATCCTTTTCTAAGTTCACTTCCCCATCCTTACTAGATTTGCCCTCTCAGAGGTGAGCTAATAAATTGGTGAAGTGCCAAAATGCAGGAAAGAGGAGATAAGGCATAGACCGGCCACATAAAAAAGTAATTATTCTTTTAACATTCAGAGGAGGGTAATATTTGCCACTTGGTTTCACATATGGACATTTAGAAAATGAGTTTAGTGACATTTAAAAGTTGTTTGGACAAAAAGCTCTGTAAAAATACTGTTTTGTTTTGTTTTTTAATTGTAAAAGTACATAGCTGTTAGTTAAATGCAACATCAGGATGAGCAACTTCAGAGTTTATTGGATATTACTGTTGTCACAGCAGCTAAGAGCCCCTAAGACATTACTATTTATTGAAAATTAAAGAATTAGGATGAAAAGGTGGCAGTGAAGAAAGTATAGTACCTTCAGATCATTGGCACTTCTGTCTACATGATATAGTTAACAATATCAAGACAGGATTTGGAGTTGCTGCCAAGGCTTGTCTAACTTCTTAATACCCTTAGCTTAATTCAGTTTAACTTATATTTGTTAGCACCTTCTCTTTACTTTACTGAGCTGGGAGCTACAGTGGAGTAAAGCCCTGCTCCTTCCACCAAGGAGCTCACAGTTTGCTGAGAGGGACAGAAACCCACATGGGTTCCTACAATGTGCAGCAAGTCATGGTGCCAGCTCAAGAGAAATGTAAACAATGGGCTGGAGCAACAATAACATCCTGGGAAGTACAGACAAGATGAAGCCCCAAAGTCTCAGTAAGCAAAGAACAGTAACTAAAGACCACAATCGGGAGGGATCAGTCAAACCTGTAATTCACCACAGCCATCTCACCCTAATTCCACCCTCATCCTCCCCCTCTCCTCCCACCTTCAACCTGTTTGGGAAAGAGCAGCAAACCGCTGAAGCAGTGGGTAGCTCATTTTCAGGTTCTGAGTTTAGGCAGTTTTAGTATGGAGCTGCCATCTTACTTCTAAGAGCTGCTCAAAGTGGGTACATATAATTTATTCAAAAGACTGGTAATTTTCCCAACAGAATTCAAAGTCAATTTCCCACCCATAAAAGAAGGAAGTCAATTCCTGCTGTTATCATCAGACATAGCTCCATAGCACATTTGTGCATGAGCTTTTCTGTCGAAACACTGCTAACAGATCTTCCTATTGTCACTGGGAGGCAGCTGAAGTCCCCTCTAAATTCCCCCTCCAACCAAGGACTTGCCTCTCCCTGCCAGGCACACGCAGGCACACTCCAGTATCCTCACCCACGTGAGTTTGCTGGAGCCAAGACTATTTAAAGACATCAGTGAAATTCTTGCTTGACCTCATGATTCAGTAGGAAATTGCAGGACCAGCCTTCCTCTGTAGAACAGAACCAGGCAGCGTTGGCAGAAGAACACGCAGCTGTTAGGCAAATACCAGCAGATGCCAGGATCATGCCTGTTCATATCTGCTGCTGAAGAACCACTTGGGCTCACATTGAATTTCATGACCTTGCTATGGTCAGAGAGGCAGGCCAGGACAGCAGCACCAAGCTTTGCCTGCTGAGCCATCATTTTATTTCCTCTCCTTGCCGTTTCAGTCACTTGATCCCACAGTAACTCTACTCTAGGGAAAGAATCTAACCATATTTTGAAGGTGTCCCAAGAACTTATTATTCTTCTTATATGAAAAAGTGGTATCAGTTTGGTTGCAGGCTTCCAACGGTGCCTTTCGAAAGTAGAGTAGCCAGGTTTTCTTTGTAACACTTAGCTTGAGAAAATCATAAAATAGTAGTTGTCAATGTGCTTTAGATATTGACTCTTTGTGAATGCTCATTTTTATTGATAAAGGGAAGTGCTGAGTAAAATACTGGTTGATGTGCTTAGCTATTCAAAATAGTAATGTGAAGGAAATTTGATACAGCCTTGCTGTTTTGCTATCAAACTCTACAGTTTGCTGACTGACTGAAATTCTTGCTTATCTTCTTGTAGTTGTAATACTGCCACATTCAAATAACTCCCAGGTATTTCTAAGGCTTCTGAAATCAAAGCAATGGAGATGACTGCATTGGCTGCAGAGTAGATTTAGCCAAACAATATAAGCTAATTGGGTGCTTGATGTGGGAGCTGGCTGCTCACATTCTTGATGATATTGTGGTTTTCCTGTCACTTGGCTCTTGGTGTGGAGCAATTTTAGGGGTGTCTTCAGAAACACCTTTTGAAGCAATTGTAGCTTACAAGCATACAATTAGGAAGAAATCTTGTGTTCATGGGGAAAAAAGGTGACTTTGAAAAAGACACATCTATTCCAGAAATAATACTGCTAAATACATAAAACTGCTACATATTAGAAAAAAATAGTCATTAATTAGCTTGTTTACTTAATAAATGGTTAATAGAAGAAATGCTGTCCATTCTCAGGCTTTCATTAATAGACTGCTGTAATAACCAAACATAGGGGAACTTCACAAAGAAGTCATGCTTGGGCTGAAAGAGATAAAGAGGGAATGCTGTCATTATCTGCAGGGATACACTAAACAAAACCTTTTTCTTTTGATAATGGATTATTGCATTTTAAAATTCTATTTCATATGCCTCAAAGCACATATTAAATATGCATTTTAATAGCTATGCATTAAAAACAGGAAGATACGTGGAGGTCAAGAGAAGACACACGGACTATTCACATGAACTGGGATGATTCTTTTCAGGAATATATAGAGACTGGGAAGAGTCTGGATGAAGTCACTGAGATTCTGTTACAAATGGTGAAAAATCGGAGGTGTGTTCAGGAAATGGTCTAAACAGGGAAAACAAAAACCAAGCAAAAATTCAAGCTGCTAGTTTTAGCCAAAATAAAGATATTAAGTACTCAATTATTCCATCAATATCTACTTAAGTAGCCATGTGTGCTCTATCTTCTTACTTCACCAAAGAATGATTTTCAGTACTGTAAAAGATATACTTGAGAAAAACAAAATACCCAGCCTAGATTAAATGTGCAGCTAAGTACTACTACCAGTTATAATTTATTCCAAAACACCAAAATACAACCTCATCATATATTTTAAGAAAGAAAAATAAAATTTAGAGGAAGAGCAAAGCTATTATAAACAATAATGGGAACAATATTGACCTTGTTAAGAAAAGAATTTTTTGCGAGTGTTTCTTTTAAGTTACCTGTCAAGTTGCACGTTGAATTCAAAGCATTTACTAAAAAAAAAAAAAAAAAAAAAAAAAAAAAAAAAAAA